AGTGGGAGGGAATGTCAGATCGGTGCGAGCAGCTCCACCGAACAGGAAAACGGATGCACCAGAATTCCGGAGCAGGAGCCAGGTGTCCAAAGGAAAAGGCAAGGCCTTCGGAGTTGCGGGGATTTTGTAGAGACCTATGCTACGCTCGGCGGAAAAGGAGAAAATGACGGCTAATGAAAGGGACAAACAGCTATGCAAATAGTAGAAAGCTACCTTTCCACCCAAGAACTAAGCTGAGCGGTAAAACCAGGTGGCACGAATATGTTGGCGTCATCTCGCAGCGCCCGAATCACTACCGAGAAAGGAAAGGCCTTGGTGAGTGGGAAAGGGAGGCCGTCTGGAGGTCACGTGATACACAATAGGCCACCCTTCCCTTCTGGCGAACGAAGTTGTAGGTAGAATCAAATTAACAGGCCAGAGAGAAACTTATTTGTACTAAGAGTTCAAAGATGTCTAATATAAATTCATTGTCTCACCTTTCCTACCTGTGTTGTAATTTAAAGTTGCCCCCAAAAAAGATGGCGGCACAGGCGCTGGGTCCTACCATAGAGACTGAGGCCTAGAGAAGCCGGTGCACGCCTTTTGTGGGCTGAGACTCGTGCCCTAGCGCCCGGCCTCCGTCAAGGAAGTTCGGGGCTTGCGGGCGGTTGTGAGTTCCTGCGTCTGCGCGAAGATGGTGGAGGAGGAGAGTGTCCGCGTGGTTCGTTGCGGCGGCAGCGAGTTGAACTTTAGGAGAGCTGTGTTCTCTGCGGATTCTAAGTATGGGGCCACCGCGCACTGTCAGCCGGGCTGAGGGACGTGAGTCCCCGGGGAGGGGGAGGAAAGAACTGTCAGGCCAGTCCGGACTCGCCAACCGGCGGTTCTGGGCTCTGGGAAGGGGGCGCGTGCGGGAGTCCCCAGGCCACGCGTAAGGGAACCGTTGCATGAGTGCTGCTTAGAGGAGTGAGAAACCACTTAGTCCCGTGGCACTGCAGGCTGAGGCTTCTTTACAGGACAGTTTACCTGCAGGTGGTTGAGGGACCGGGGGCGGTCCCACGTGCCTGGAATCAGCTCCGCCGTGGGGCGGCGAGAAAGTCCGGGCAAAAAAGATCTGTACATCACTGCCCTTGCAGTACTGCGAGGAGTGTTTTTTCGGAAAGAGTCGTGACTTTGAATTACTGAAAGATCAAAGATTTCCATTTTCTCCACACTCTTCTTTCCCCTAAAGATGTATTTTGGCAACCTTATTGCAACTATGCGTGATACTGATGTTAGAGTCTGTGCGGAATGATTACGTATGAAAGCCCTGGTGTCTATTCTCGGGAGTTCAGTATAGCTGGAAACCAAACTACTCCCTGGGTTCAAAACCCGGTTCTTAAATTGTGTGACCTTTGCAGGTTCTTTATCTTTGCCTCAGTAGTCTCATCCTAAAACAGGAATAATATTTTTATAATCCAATTCCTAGGGTTGTTGAGAGGGTTAAGTGCTTTAATACATATAAATCAGGTAAAACAAGCCTGGTACTTAATGGCTCAGTGTGTGTCAGCTGTCATTGCTCTATTGTCAGTATAATTTACAAATGACATCTCGTAGAAAGAGGTTTTCAAATCATTTAAGGACAGAGTGACCCTTAGTTAATTACCCCTTTCTATCTTAGAAGAGTAACGATAATATCTTATGAAAGTTTGTATCCCCCACAGTGTCTTGCTTATGGGTGTATGATAGTTGTTGAATGCATGCATGACTGAAGGAGTTTTCATAAATAGCAGTAGAGGCAAGAAAAAAAAAGAAGAATCCTTGGTCTTTACATGAACGAGAGCTTTGTTGATATTCATCTTATAAATCAGGAAGAAACTGAGATTTCAAGGTGTCAAAGTTCTGCTTACAGCTAGGAATCCAGTTTCTTTTTCCAGTGTAGTGCTTCTACAACTTAGGATGAGATGCAGTATTTCATTTACCAAGTCCTACAATTCGTTTTTAAGTATTTGTCAGCTACGTATTATTTGTAACAAGCTGACATGATAAAAATTAAGATAATTTTAATATTGATCCTATTTTCAAGATTTTACAGTCTAGTGAGGAAAAAAATAATTAGTAACAGATGTTGCATACTATGGTTCCTTGGGAGTTACTAAAGAGAGAGTACTTCAGACTGGTGAGGATGGACAGGTTGCTGAGGAAATGACATTTAGGCTAGGCCTAAATAGGTGAATGGTATTTTGACTAGAGGATATGGATGGATGGCATTCCAGATAGTGGGCACAGTATAAGCAAGAAGAGTAGAAACCTAAATATATTGAACAGACTGTGGTACAGTTAGCTCATATGACTAGTATATGAAGAGAGCTAGTGAGGTTGAAAAAGGAACGTGAAGCCAGTTCTTGGCTGTTTGGTCCAAAGAGACTATTTTTTTTATTCCCTAGATGGAGGGCGGTGGAAGGTAACATGATTGTGTTTCTTCAAGAATGTTAACCCGAAGACTATGCATAAAACTAAGTAATAAGTGGTGGAGAGTGGCAAGATCAGAGGTAGGTTGACTTAGCATACTTGAGGTACACAGATGGCATAGAGGAGGGAGTTATATAGTGAAAGTTTCCCTTCAGTAGTGGGACCTTGCAAGACTAATAGGAGTTTGTTCCACCACTGATACTGGGGGAAGGCATCCAGGCGAAGTGCGCAGCTTGAAGTTGCTGGGGTAGGGTGGGAGGAGTAGGTAGTGTGATGTGTGTAAAGTCAGTATAGTTTGTAGCATAAAGTATAGGGAAGTGGTGGGAGAAGAATCTGGAAGAGTACAGACCATGGCTTAAAAGGCTAATGCAGGCATTCAGACAAGAAATTACTTTGGCCTAAACCAAGATAATATTGAAGAGAATAGACAATTTTGGAGTGAATCAGCACTTAGGATTAACGAGATAGCGAGTTCACTTTGGGACCTGTTGAGTTTAAAGTACCTATGAAATGACCAGATGGACCTAATAAGTAGGTAGAAAATCAGTACTGAAGTTTGGGGAATTTGGTGAAGATTTAGATGTGGAGTGTTTGGGTTTTGTTTGTGTCTATATAAAAAGTAGTAATTAAAATCAGCTCTCTAGCAAATGAACAGGGTCATAATGAACTCATCAAGGTTTTGGATGTTATCTAAAAGGTACTACAGGTGTTGGCTAATTTATACAAAAAGGAATAAGGTAATTTTGTATTTTGCTTCAAGGAGGTCATCAAGAAAGCTGAGATAGTAAATAAGACTAGAATCGTGGAGTTTTATCTGTTTCCTCTTGTTCATGGGGTCCTCTTGGAACTAAGACAAAAACTCTGTTCTGCCTACTTGAGGGGGTTGTTTTAAGAGGCAAGTCGAGAGGTGGGTATACATGAGAGTAGCTTGTATTCCTGTATCAGTTATTACTGACTCCCAGTCCAGCACTGTTTATATTACATCCTTTTAGCTCCTACAGTTACATGGTGCTAAGCATTAGGTTGCTAAGGTATAGAAAATTTAAAAGGTAGGTCATTCTTGTATTTTACATTCCTAAATTCCCACAAAGCTAGTGTCCAACTCTAAATACTCTTTTGCAGACCATTCTGTATATTGCTGTAATAATTTTCCTTAAGTGTTACTATCATAACTCTCACCCTTATTCCTAGTCTTGCTCAGAACCCTATTAATCTTCTGTTGCCTTCCTTATCTACAGCTCTTTTCTCTGGCTTTCATGACTTTCCCTGATCTAGCTTGACTCTCCTTACCCAATTATTTCCTGACATAACCCATCATATACACTTTGTTAGGTCATTTCCTATCTCTTGTAGGTACTGTGTTAATTATTTCCCAGCTTATGTTTATGTTGGTATTCTTTTTCGTTCCCAGCTCTTAAATTATGCATCCTTTGGAGCCTCATTTAAATTCTGGTTCCTGTTTGAAAGCATCTCTAACTTCTTCATTTCAGTAAAGTTGATTGAATCATATGTGGCAGGCATTGTGGTCTATGCTTTACATGCATTTCTGTCTGCAGGGTTTTAGGTATTCTGATTTTATGAAAGCATTTGAGTGTGCTAAGCATACTGTGTGTGCTAAGGGTGCATTTGCATGTGTTGTTTCCTTTAGTCCTCATAATAACCCTGTGAGAAACCATTACCTGCCTTTTACAGCAGAGAACAGTGATGTTTTAGAGAATTAAATTCTCCCAGCATTCAGCCCATATGTGGTAAAGCTGGCATTCAAACCCATTTGTTTGACTTCTTAAAACTGTGTCCTTTTTCTACCTACTGTATTTCTATTGTTATTTATAATAAGTAAACACACCTTTCCTCCCCTCAAAGAGCTTACAGTCTAGTAGGGGAAGGCTTCAATATGCTGTGTGGTCAGTGCTCTTATAGCGCTAAGCCTACCATCTTGTATAAGCACATTAAGAGTGGTACTGCTCTAGAATGAGAAAATGCAGGAAGGCTTCACGTGTGCTGAATCTGTCTTAAGGAAGTAGTCAGAAAGAAAGAGTATTCTGTGTAGACAGCAATGTATACAAAAGCAGGGAGAGAGTGTTTCTTTTGGGGGCTTGCTTTCAAATTTGAAGCCATTCTCTGTGGAGGAGCAAGGAGAGGAAATTCCTTTTCTCTGGGGAAGCATATCAGAATCAGGGAGTTTTCCTGGCACATAGTACCCTTCACCCACCACCATCTCAGGGAATGCCTAGCCAACCTTTTGGTATAATGGGGTGTGTCTGTGGGGAGTGGGAGGGTAGTGGAGTTGTAAACCACTTGACTAGAGGACAGTTTTAAAATGACAAAGTAGCTCCACTTAGATCAGGTCAAATCCCCAAAGGCCTTAGGAGTTTAGATCATATCCCAAAGGCAGTGGGAAAACATTGACAAACTGTAATTTAATTTTATCTTTAAAGAGGTAATGTCAAATTTGCAAAGTTAATCTGGTGTGAGTGGGAAAGATGAATTGAAGGGCCACACCTGGAGACTGTAAGAAGCCCTTAGGTCCAGGCTGGAGATGTTAAGACTCTGAATTAAGGTACTCATGGGAATGAAGAGGAGGATCCAGCCAGAGGGGTAACCATATGTCTCAGATGTTTTGTTGCTTGAACTTGCTTAATCTTTTAGACAGTGAAACAAGTCATTTCATGATTGCCTCCTGGCACTTAGAATAATGCGTCCTGATTTCAGAGAGGTGAACATGTGAAAAAGCAGGTGTCTTAGAATTGATAAAATAGGGTAGTCGTGATCCTGGTCAGCATTAGAAGATTTACTCTTTTGTTATCTTGTAATTTTTTTATTGGTTCATTTTATCCAGATAGTTTACAAAATCTCTGAGAATTGAGTGGGTTCTGTTCAACAAACTGGATTGC